AGTTCAGAGCCAACCTCCCAATTGCTATGCTTGAGCCCATTGCTAGGCCCAGTGTATCAGGCCGTCTTATTGGGGGTCCTCCTCTTTTCTTGCTGATCCTCCACTTTACCAAGCATGATGTCCTTCTCCAGGGGCTGGTTCCTACTGACAACATGTCCAAAGTATGAGAAATCAAGTCTGGTCATCCTGGCTTCTAAGGAGCACTCTGGCTGCACTTCTTCCAACACAGATCTGTTTGTTCTTCTGGCAGTCCATGGTACTTTCAATATTCTCCTCCAACACCATGACTTAAATGCTCAATTCTTCTCTGGTCTTCCTTATTTACTGTCTAACTTTTGCACGCATATGAGGCCGTTGGAAATGCCCTGGCCTTAGCTGGGGTCAGGCGCACCTTAGCTGGGGTCGGGTGCACCACACCTACTGTATCTGCTGCCGCTTTATTAGTCTCCCTTTTCTCTTTCCTCATCTTCTTTTTTTGAAATTTTCTAGATTTTGTCCTTACTGTTGAGAATGTGTGCAACAAAACATCCGACACTTCTCATCTCAAGACAAAGGAGACGTTTGTTCCCCGGCAGGCATCTTTCCCCAAATCTCTGGCTAGTCTATTGTTGCTTACATACTTCTGCTAGATTCCTCCTGTCCTGTGAAGATGGGTCATCAATGAAATGTGTTCAAGGTGTTGGCCTTTTGGCTGGTTTCTAACACGAAATGAGTTTCCAGTCTCCATCCAAAGCTTTCAGCTAGGTTGGGACAGAATCTAGAATTGTTCATTGTATGTTTCACCACATCGACATTAAGGACTTGTGCAATGCTGTTGGGTCAGCACTGGACTGCAAAAAGGTCGGCAGTTCAAACCCACCAGCCACTCCTCGGAACCCCTATACCAGGTAGCTAAGAGTTGGAACCGACTCGACTGTGCTTAACAACACAGCAATCATCCTATTTACAGTCATTCAGTCAGTTCCGTATATAAGTCAGCAGCTTTACATAGACTTTCAGAGGCAGCCTTGTCGTTTGAACCTCTGATCTCTAATGACCTATAGCCACCAGGGCTCCTTCTAGTCATTATCGTTGTTGTTAAGTGCCGTTGAGTTGGTTCTGACTCATTACCACCCTGTATAGGGTTTCTAAGGCACGGCTGGTGGGTTTGAACTGCTGACCTTGTGGTTGGTAGTTCAGGGCTTATCCTCCAGCGCCACCTCAGGAGTCATTGTAAGCACCGTCTGATAAGCATTTTTCAGTGCTTATTTTGCCCCGGGCTCTGTACTGTATCTGTGTGAGCACACACACACACACACACACAACACACAAGTGTCTAATGTGTCTAGACAAGGTGTGAAAACTTCACAGACAACACAGCCGCTTGGGTTACACAGAGAAGACATAGAGCAAGGTGGGCTTCAATGGTGGGCCCTGGTGTTCTGCGTGAACCCTCCTAAACTGCAGGAAGAGACCCCATCCCTTTCCTGCTGGGAACAGATGAAGACATGGGGCTGCCCAGGCGCCTTGTGATGCAGACATTTCACTAAGCAGTTCCCGGGTATGTTGACCAGAGCTCTGGGGAGCGGGGAGGGCTGTGCTGCTCACCCACCAGCTGCTGTGGGACTTGTTCTGGGTCAAGGCACCCCAATGAAAGACAGGCAGCCCATAATCTTATCCCACCCCCAAATAAGGGTCTTTTGTGGGTCACAGGAGAAGGTGGCAGTCTTGCAGGTAACAGCACGTCAGCCCACCGGCCAGTTGCTGTGTAGCTGATTCTGACACAGGTTGGCCGCAGGTGTGTATTGCAGAGTTCGTCATCCTTTGGAAGTAAATTGCCAGGACTCTTTGTCTGAGGTGTGTTTGTTGTTGTTAAGTGCCCTCGAGTCGATTTCGATTCATAGTCCCCTGTATAGGATTTCCAAGCCGGGTGCTGGTGAGTTTGAACCTCTGATCTTGAGGTTCAAACCAAACTTGAGATGGAGTGGTCTTCCTGTGGTGTGACACCAGGCATGTTTGGGTGTATTTAAACCTTCAGCCTTTTGGTTAGTGTGGTTTCGTGCTGTCTAGTCAGTTCCAACTCATGTATATATACATAAAGTGCCTCTGAGTCTGTTCCAACTCATAGTGACCCTGTGGGTTTCTGAGGAGTAGTTCTAACTGACCTTGTAGTCCAGTGCTTATCCTATAGCGTCATACCAGGAGAGAAAGAGAGAGAGGGTCTTGATGGTACAGTGCTTAAACTCTTCACTGCTAGCCAAAAGGTTGGTATTTTAAACCTGCCAACAAGCAGGTCCACAGGAGAAAAATGAGGCAGTCGGCCCTTTAAAGATTTTGTTGTTGTCAGGTGCCATCGAGTTGGTACCGACCCATAACGACCTTATTATGCACAGCAGAACGAAACACTGCCCAATCCTGGGCCAACCTCACTACTGTTGCCATGCTTGAGTCATGCTTAGCCAGTCCATCTCGTTGAGGGTCTTCCTCTTTTTCTTTGACTCTCCCCCTTACCAAACATGATATCCTCCTCCAGTGACTGGTCCCTCCTGACAATATGTCCAAAGAATGAGAGATGAAGTCTGGCTATCCTGGCCTCCAAGGAGCACTCTGGCTGCACTTCTTCCAACACGGATCTATTAGTTCTTTTGGCAGCCCATGGCACTTTCAATATTCTCCTCCAACACCATAACTCAAAAGCATCAATTCTTCTACGGTTTTCCTTATTCACTGTCCAGCTTTCGCATGCATATGAGGTTATTGAAAATACCATGGCTTGGGTCAGGCACACCTCAGTCTTCAAGGTGACATCTTTGCTCTTCAACACTTTAAAAAGGTCTTGTGCAGCAGATTTGCTTAATGCAATACGTCATTTGGTTTCTTGACTGCTGCTTCCGTGAGTGTTGATAGTTGATCCAAGAAGAATGAAATCCTTGACAACTTCATTCTTTTCTCTGTTGATAAGAATGTTGTTTATTGGTCCAGTGGTGAGGATTTTTGTTTTCATTACATTGAGATGTAATCCATACCAAAGGCTGTGCTCTTTGATCTTTATCAGTTAATGTTTTAAATCCTCTTCATAAGGAGCTCTGGTAGCATAGTGGTTACGAATCGTGTTGCGAACCATAAGGTCAGCTCCCATAAAGATTTACAGGCTCGGAAACCCTGTACAGGGTCGCTATGGGTCAGAACTGACTCAATGGCACTTAACAACAACAACACCATAAAGCTTTAGAGCTTTGGAAACCCTCTATGACACTTCTGTGCTGCCCTACAGGGTCGCTATGAGGCAGAATCAGCTTGAAGACAGAGTTTTTGTTGTTTGAGAATCCAACACACACATGAGGAGACTTTAAAAGTTTGTGGTAAAATTTCATTAGCTTTTAATTCCATTTTTCCAAGAGCTTTTTGAAGCCCCTTATGCACACACACAAAGCCATGCACCACACACAGGGAATATATGTTACTGTCTGCACCTCGCTGGTGTTGGGGCGCAGCCTGGTTAGGACTTACCCAGGTCTTAGGTGCAGAGCTAGGGCGCAGCCAGCTTATTGACTCACTCAGGTCTAAGGGGCAGAGCTGAGGTGCAGCCAGGTTATGACTCACCCAAGTCTTAGGGGCAGAGCTGGGAGTCACCCAGTTAACGACTCAGCGGGTCTTAGGGACAGAGCTGGGGTCACTCAGTTAGCAACTCACCAGATCTTAGGGGCAGAGCTGGGACGCAGCCAGGTTAGCTACTTACTCAGGTCTTAGGGGCAGAGCTGGGGGTCACCCTGTTAGCGACTCACCAGGTCTTAGGGACAGAGCTGGAGCTAGAGCCCACACCTTCCAACACTGACTGGGCTGGCCCCTCTCCCTCAGGTCACATCTAAATTTGGAGAGTCTTGGGGGGGGGAACCAAAATGGAAATGACTTTCCTGTTTGATTTGCTACCTGTGTTCACTAGACCCACGATGACCTGCATGACGATTTGAGCTCTTCACTTTGAACTTGTGATGTAATGGAATTTCTGTTTTTTCTATAATAGCAACGACATAAGGCAGACAGATTAATCAACACAAAGAAAACAACAGGTAAGATATATGAGATTGAATTTTTAACCTGCCTCTCCATAAGCCAAATGACAAGTTCACCAAGTTTTGTCCTTGTTACAAATACTCTGTGGGATCATAGTTCAAGACAGGAACCAGGGACCACACTTAGAAGGAAAGCCAGCTTCCATAGATGTATGTTTCCATATTCCAAACAATAAGTATGCTCATTAGAGTAAAAGAAGAGAAAAAAAGATGGGAAGAATGGACTATTCAGGGCATGGACCATACTTTTATCCGTAAATAGATCTGGGCTTTATGTAATTGGTTCCTGTTACCTCCCAGTTTCCCAGGTTTGATCTGTGTTACATTTGTAATAGATTAGAAATAGATTGTGTTGCTGGTCAGTCTGGAAGCATGCAACAGCAAATTGTTTCTCTTTATGTCTGAAAATGACTTCATACATAGCAACTAGCTATCTGTCATCTTTCTATCCATCTGTTTTCTCTTTGTCATTCTACCTACCTGCCTATCATCCATCTATTATTATATGACACTGTTTTCTATATTGCTGAATTTTAGTGTAAATAAGGTTAAGTAAACAAAGGCTACATTTTATAAAGAAATCTTATTTTTTTCCTAGTAAAGGTATCTTTTATTATTTAGAAATTTACCAGATGCAAATCAAATCATAGCTGCGGTTTTTTTTTTTTTTCTTCTTCTTCTTTTCTTTCAGTGTTACGACAAAAAGTGTGGCAAGTGGTTATGTGGAAAGAGGTAAGAATTGTAAAGAGACTTCATTGCTGTAGTTCTCAGGGTTGGTGTCTGTCTCCAAGTTGGTGTTGAAATAGAGCTGAGACCCGCTGTGATTCATAGTAGATAAAAGTGTGGAGTCCTAGATGTTTATGTCTACTTTACATGCCTTGGATACATGTTCCTGTATCCGTTCTGTATAACCTGAATTCTTCCTGCACAGTTTAAAACTTACAGAGTAGTGTTACTTAGATGTGAAATGAAGAAGCCTGAAAAAATTCAGAAAGTACAAAACAAGCTCAAAATAGTAAAACAAAACCATGAAGTTGAATTTATTAATAACTTAAATAAGAGAGTGTCTTGGAAGAAAAACTGATAATGGGTTTCTGAAAAGTGAGCCACTGGGAACTCTGTGAACTGGAAGGAAAAAAAATGATACAACCATTGTGGAAACCAGTTTGGTGCTGCCTTAGAAACTTAGACCTAGACCCACTATTTTGTCGTAATTAGTGTCTTTGAGTTGTTTCTGACTCATAGCGACCCTGTCTGGGGTTCCAAGGAGCAACTGGTGAGTTTGAACCACTGACCTTGCAGTTAGCAGTTTGGTGCTTATCCCACAGTGCCACACCAAGACTTCGATATCTACCACTGTTGTTGTTGTTAAGTGCTGTTGAGTCTGTTCTGACCCATAGTGACCCTGTATAGGGTTTCCAAGGAGCGACTGGTGAGTTTGAACCACTGACCTTGTGGTTCAAACTGACTTTGTGGTCCAGTGCTTATCGTACAGCGCCACAGCAAGACCCCAGACCTACCACATGACTCAGCAATTCCACTCCTACGTATATGAGGGTCTTCACAAAGTTTGTGGGAAAATTCCATTATCTTTATGTTCTGTTTTTTCCGTGAACTTTTCGAAGCCCCCTCATTTCCCTAAGATACCTGAAAGCAGCAAAGAAAATGGACACACGGACACCAATGGTCACTGCTCATAGTACCCAAAAGGTGTAAACAACCTAAAGGCTCATCAGTGGAAGAATGGAAAAACACAAACCATGCAACAGACACACGAAAAGCACTGTTATAAATTCATAGAAACTTTTGGAGCAAACCCATCAAAATGAGAAGCGATTGCGTCAGTACGCAGGCTCTGTCTCGGCCTGCACATTTTTGATGCTGCTGTCTCGTTTCTCTATCCCTTCGCTATGGGTCAGAACCGACTAGATGACACCTGGTCAGTTTCCTGAAGATGTCTGTGCCCTTTAATTTACACCTGGTCAGAGCGGCTGTTTTGCCATCTTGGAAGAAGTGAAATCCTGTTCCTTTTCAATTTTCTCTGTGAGTTTGAGGAATAAAAAGCAGTCTGAAGGGGCAGGATCAGGCTGTACGATGGATGGAGAAAGGTTTCCTCTTGAAATTCTGGTAGGATAGGCCTTCCTACCTCTGAAGGGTGAGCAGGTGCATTGTCATGATGGGAAAAAAATGCCTCAGCCCAACTTTCCTGACCTTTTCCTCCCCAATGCAGTTTTCAGTTTTCTTAAAATTCTTCCTAATTAACTCCAGTAATTGTCTTGTGTCCTTTAAGAAAATCTATCAAGATGATCCCATCAGGATCTCCCAAAACCCTCGCCATAACCTCTCTGCCTTGAATTGAGCTGGCCCCACAGATCCCCTTGGAAGGCAGGGCTATGTCTAGACATTTTTTTGTTCTGAAGGCGCTCAAGGAGACTAAGATAGGAGTATTACTGAGGGAACTTGTCCACAGCCATCCACAGAGACACATGTAAGTACATTATGTTTAGAAAAAACCCATGCAAGTATGAACTGGAGACCTCATAGCAAAACTTGCTGACTTACCTCATATATTTAAAATGCTAGATTCTAAGTCTTTGAAGTAAGTCTCTACGAACTGTAATATTATCCTCATTTTGTTGGTGAGGAAATAGAAGATCTAAGCAATACGTAGCTTGCTCAAGGTCACGCGGCTAATGAGTGGTGAAAATAGGACTTGAATCCAAGCCTTTCTGGATGGAAGTTCACACTCTGTCTAATGTACCTAGTACCTCTGTGTGACCTCCAAGTCAGTGCTTAGGATATTAATGAAAATTCTTCCTAAACTGTAGTTCAGGGTACCTGTCAGCCTTTGTTGTTGTTAAGTACCATCAAGTCGGTTCTGACTCATAACAACCCTGTATTGGGTTTCTGAAGAGCTGTTGGTGGGTTTCAACCACTGACCTTGTGGTTTAAACCAACCTTGCAGTCCAGTGCTTGTTGGGTAGGACCACAACAGGTCTGTTATCTCAGGATACAGGACACAGGAGCTGTCTAGGTCTGCTGTCTAGTTTTTGACAGTGCTGTTTCGGTTTCCCATACCCCTTCACTATGGGTCAAAATGCTTGCCCTTGGGTATTAGTTAGAGGTATTCTGAATGTATTTGGGAATAGATATCGAGTTTATCCTCAGCAGTAATTTATCATGCCCAGCATACAATTCCTTTGAAAGCAAAATAACAAGACTGTTGTGATTTCTAAGGACCATCAACATGTCTTTCCCTGTGTAACAATTCCAAGTGACTCTTCTCTCTGGCCCAAGAGCGAAGTGCACTGCCTGCTTTTCTGGCATTAGAGTCTTGGGGGAGGTGAATCTGTGGGATGCAGTCTGCTTGCTGTTACAGAGCAGAAAAGGTCAATAGGTGATTGAACCGTACTAGACCCCAGTGCCTTCCGCTGGAAGGGAAAGTGAGGTGTCCAGAGCAGGAACCCGGAAATCTGCACCATTACTATACCACTGGCATGGTGCAACCCAAGAGGGGCAATTCCAACATTGAGAGCTTTACAAAGGTATCAGAGCTTATCCACTTTTCTGTGGATGGGCATTGGAAGAGTGGATAAAGAAACCACGGTACAGACACACAGTGGAATACTAGGTAATGTTAACAAATAACAGTGAATCTGTGAAACACGTCACAACATGGATGACCCTGGAGGACAGTATGCTTGAGTACATCAAGTCAACCACAAAAGGATAAATAGTGTATGAGACCACTGCTATCATAAAGAAAAGGTTTTCACACAGAAAGAAACATTCTTTGATGGTTACCAAAGGTGAGATGGAGTGGCGCTGACTAGAGCTCATTGTTGCCTTTTAAGATTCTTGCCTCACGTGGGTCCAACAAGCAAACACAAACAAAGAAGGAAACAAGCCAGGTGCTACAGAATCAATTCCAACTCCTGGTGCCCCATGTGTGTCAGAGTAGAACTGTGCCCACAGGGTTCTCAGTGGATGATGTTTCATAAGTAGATCCCACTCATGGTGCCCCGTGTGTGTCAGAGTAGAACTGTGCTCCACAGGGTTCTTTCTCAGTGGATGATGTTTCATAAGTAGATTCCACTCATGGTGCCCCCATGTGTGTCAGAGTAGAACTGTGCCCACAGGGTTCTCAGTGGATGATTTTTCATAAGTAGATCCCACTCATGGTGCCCCGTGTGTGTCAGGGTAGAACTGTGCTCCACAGGGTTCTCAGTGGATGATGTTTCATAAGTAGATTCGACTCACGGTGCCCCCGTGTGTGTCAGAGTAGAACTGTGCCCCACAGGGTTTTCAGTAGATGATTTTTCATAACTAGATTCCACTCATGGTGCCCCATGTGTGTCAGAGTAGAACTGTGCCCACAGGGTTCTCAGTGGATGATTTCTCATAAGTAGATCCCAGTCATGGTGCCCCGTGTGTGTCAGAGTAGAACTGTGCCCACAGGGTTCTCAGTGGATGATTTTTCATGAGTAGATCCCAGTCATGGTGCCCCGTGTGTGTCAGGGTAGAACTGTGCTCCACAGGGTTCTCAGTGCATGATTTTTCATGAGTAGATTCCACTCATGGCGCCCCCGTGTGTGTCAGAGGAGAACTGTGCCCACAGGGTTCTCAGTGGATGATTTTTCATGAGTAGATCCCAGTCATGGTGCCCCGTGTGTGTCAGAGTAGAACTGTGCTCCACAGGGTTCTCAGTGCATGATTTTTCATGAGTAGATTCCAGTCATGGCGCCCCCATTTGGTCAGAGGAGAACTGTGCCCACAGGGCTCTCCGTGGCTGAGTTCTCCCCAGTAGGTCACCAGCCTTTTCCCCCAGAGCACGATGGACAGACTGAAACCTCCCACCTCTCAGCTCACACATGAACCTTTCTCACCACCCAGGAACTCCCGTCAACACTTCCTTAGCACACCTTCTGGGCTGAAGTGGTCTGTTCAGGAATAAATACTAAAGAGGAAAAGAGCAAGAGCTTCCAGTACTTTCTCTCTTCATTGTTACTAGTATTGACAGCTCTCTCATCTATAATGTAGGAGCGAGATGGAGCCATAGGATAAGCACTAGGCTGTGAACCACAAGGTCAGCAGTTTGAGTCCAGCGACAGCTCTGCTGAAGAAAAGATGAGTCTTTCTGTTCCCACAAAAGATTTAAAACCTTGGAAACCCTATACAGGCACTTAAACAACAACATGTATAATTTAGAATTTATTCAGCTAAACAAATATTTATTTAGTACCTACTGGCACAGTGGTGAAGAGTTGGGCTGCGGTTCAAAGCCACTAACCCATCGGGAGAATAATGCGGCAGTCTGTTCCTGTAAACACTGACGGACTCGGAAACTCTCAGGAGCGTGTCTACTCTGTTCCTTACCGGCCCTGGGTCAGAAATGATTTGACAGTGGTGGGGCGTCATACTAAAACAACCAGGTGCCATCGAGTCAGTGTTGACTCCCAGCGTCCCCACGTGTACAAAGTAGAACTATGTTCAATAGAGTTTTCAGAAACCATCCCCTCCCGGGAGCAGATAGCCAGGTTTTCCGGTTGGTAGCTGAGAGGTTAATGTGTGTCACCCATGGTCCTGTGCTGCTATGATTACTGTTAAGTGCCGTTGAGTTGATTGCAATTCTTAGAGACCATGTGTCGTGTTTCTGAGGAGTGACTGGTGGAGTTGATTTGGACTCATAGGGAGCGACCCTGTGGGATTTCCAAGGTTTGAATTGCTGACCTTGTGGTTAGCAGTCCCGTGCTTGTCGTAGCGCGTCACACCAGGACTCCAGGCGTCTACGCTAAGCACTGGGAATTCACCCAGAGAGGAAGACGGGCCACTTCTCTGTTCTCCATGAAGCTCACAGACTAGGAGGCGCAACTGGACCTTTCATCAAGCAATGGTGTGGAACTGTGGGTTAATGTGCTAGACTTCAAGGTCAGTTTGAACCACAAGGTTGGTGGTTCAAGCTCACCAGTCCCTTCTCGGAAACCCTATACAGGGTCGCTATGAGTCAGAACTGACTCAGTGGCACACAACGACCACGACATTGATGTAAAAAGGAGTCCTGGTGTGGCGCTGTGGGCTAATGCACTGGACTGCAAAGTCAGTTTGAACTGCAAGGTCGGAGGTTCAAACCCACCAGCTCCTCCTTGGAAACCCTATATAGGCTTGCTATGGGTCGGAACTTCACAACATGAAGTTGACATGAAAGGAGTGTGGCTGGTAGGTGTATTAGGGATCAATTTTGTACTTCTCTTCCAGTATGGAAACGTTTCTTCCCAACCCCCCACACTATTGTCATCTTGGGCTGGCTCTTTCTTTGTCGTGGGGACTTTCCCATACATTCTATGATGATTAGCAGTGTATTTGGCCTCCACAGAAGTCTGTAGCAGCCCCCTTCCCCAGTCTTCACAACCAAGATTATCAAAGAGATTCCCTGACTTGGGAGCAAAAATCACTTCTGGTTGAGAACCCCTGCTTTACACACATGGACCTCTCAGGAAACAACAGTGTTCTAATGAAGCTGAACTTTATTAGCATGGCTGATGTTATGGTGGTAGTGGTGGTTATGTGCCATAGAGTCGGTTCTGACTCATAGCGACCCTGTACAGGGTTTCCGAGGCTATAAATCTTTACAGGAGCAGAAAGCCTCATCTTTCTCCCACCAAACAGCTGGTAGTTTTTAACTGCTTCAAAAAGCTTGTGGAAAAATTCTATTATCTTTTCATTCACATTTTCCACAAAATTTTCAAAGGCCCCTGATATTTTAAAATTGAGAACATTTTAACTTGAGAAGTTCTTCCTGAGAATGTTTGACATGTTTTGCCTCTAGTTTTGCTTTAGAAACTCATGCTTCTGTGTCCTCTCTCCTGGTGTGAAAAGGTGAAGGTGGGGGACGTTGTGAAGGCCTCGAATGGACAGTTCCTCCCTGCAGACATGCTCCTGGTGTCCTCCAGGTGAGTGATCATGGTGGGCAGGTCAGAAACTTCTGTTTTGAGTCAAAAATAATAAGAACACCATAGACAACCATCCATCCTGCCTCACACCTCACACCGTCTTTTTCATGGTATTGTACAAGCCAGAGTCAGCACGTTCAGTTTTGTGGGGCATGCAGTCTCTCTTGTGTCTCTTCAGCATTACCATTGTATGAAGAGAACCACCATAGACAGTATGTGAACGAGTCATGTTCCAATAAAACTTTTTTGACAAAAACTGTTGGCTCTCCTTCTAAACCTCTAACACCTTTTCTTCACTTTCCCTGGTTATATTTTTTTGTATCCTAATTCTTAGATTACATACACTCCACTAAGCTAAAAAAAAAAAAAAGAAGTACTTTAAATTTATTACTTATGATAGTCTTAAGGAATTCTGAGAAGAGGGACAGATTAGCTCTGAAGCCTTCTTTCAAACTTCTAGAAAAGCAATCTACCTATACAAACTTTACTCTTTGCCAGCTGCTCTTCTTTTTACTGCCACCCATGCGTTCATCCAATTGACATCCTATTGACTTTCCTCTTGGATTTGGCTCCGATTATGGGGTTGGCTGGCCTCCTGATGTGGTGCTGTAGCATTAGCACTGGACTGCGAACCACAAGGTCGGCAGTTCGAACCCACCAGTGGCTCCTCGGAAACTCTATATACAGGGTCGCTGTGAGTCGGAACCAACTTGACAGAACTTAACAACAATGACAATGACAATGGGTTGGACTAAGAAGACTTGGTGGCTTGGTAGTTAAGAGCTTGGCTGCTAACTGACAGTTTGGCAGTTGAAGCCCAGTAGCCGTGCCGTAGAATGAGATGAAGCAGTCTGTTTCTGTAAAGATTTCAGCTTTGGAACAGCTGTGAAGTTAGTATCCACCAAATTTCCTCTGGTACAGCAACAGGGGTCCCCTGTTGAGAGACAGTTTTAGCCCAGAATGACTCATTAGAAAAGAAGAAAGACTGGGGAAAATGAGCCAAACATCTAATATAAGAAGTTAGGTACCATACAGAACAATAAACTAAAAAATGAAATATAAGAAAACAAAAAAAATTCTAATAGAAATTAATGAAAGAAAGCAAACAACTGACAGAAATCAGAAAAAAAAAACAAAAAAACCCCAAAAAAACCAGTAAACAGCATATTGGTAAAATTAGTTAAGGAAAAAAAAGGAAGACATAAATAATAATTTTAAAATTGAAAAAGTGATCTCATTACAAATGCATCTCACATTAAAGAATTTATTAAAATTTGGACTGTATTTTAACATTCAAATGAGATAAATCCATAGAAAAATTTAGGTCTGCAAAACTTATTTTAGAAGAAATATAGACACCCTCCCAATATTAAATAATTAATTTAAAACACTTTCCATAAAAAGATCCAAAGACTAGCCATTATAAATCAAATTCTACAATATAAATGATTATAAAAAATATTAATGCGGTAGCTATCTTCAGGAGGGGCAGAATGCATTGCAGACACACAGACTTCCTGTATACATTCAACACTCAGCTACTAACAGAAGGAGGAAGCGAAAAAGAGGCAAACCCCAATGAGATGGCTGGATTAGTGGCAGCCGTAAGGGGCTCAAGCTCAGCAACGATTGTGAGGCTGGCGCAGGACCGGGCGGGCAGTGTTTCATTCTGTTGGGCAAGACGGTCGCTGTGGCCAGGTACTGACTCGACGGCATCTAACAGCAACACCAATAGAAAGATCAGGGCACACGGTGGCACTGTCGGATAAGCATCAACCACAAGGTCGGTGGTTCAAACTCACCAGCCTCTCCTCAGAAACCCTTTTCGGGGTTGCTATGAGTCAGAAACGACTCAATGGCACTTAGCAACAACGGAGTGATTGGTGGTTTGAATCCAACCAGAGGCACCTCAGAAGTAAAGGCCTGATACTTGATTTATTTCTAAAGGATCTCAGCCACTGAGCAGCCTATACAATGCAGGTCTGCTGCGCAATATAACGGGTTACCATGAGGCAGAAGTGAACAGACAGCAACTGCGTATATATATATATAT